CAAACAAGAACTTTCAAAGCAATTTTATCTAGCTTCTTTAAGTTTTTCCATGTGGGTGTTATCGTCTCGTGGGTGACGTAAGTTCAGAAACGGAGGTAGATTGACATCTTGACATCAAAAGTGCTGATGATCTACGATAGATAAGTAACGCAAGATTGCGACACTGGCCCAATGGTTTAGTTACAAACAGCGAAACTATTAAGTCGTGGGTTCGAAAACGATAATAAACTACTGCTGTGAAACACTACTGCTACTACTACCTTTTTTACCATGTAGAAATGCATCCGCACACCTGCTTGTCTGGAAGAGCAAAGTTGACTTATGTCTAGCTCGCACAGACTAAAATAGCAAAGCACGCGTGTGCGTGTGGTCTATGGGTGTGTGTGTTTTTTTGTGTGTATTCAATGTACATATTTTTGCATTCACACACTTTAATACCATTATAATTATTTTACTAAAGTGGGTCAAGAATGTGTACTAAAAATTAAATTTTATTATAATAATCAATTTTATATGTTGGGTAATAATATTGCGAACAACTATCCGCGAACGTCCGTCGAATAATCAAAATTATACAATCGTTTCCATCCGATTACCTTACCTATGGGTCTCGATCAAAATGGGTCGAAACAGAAGATCGATAAACAGGTCGAATTAGTAGTGCTCTTTTTTTTTTTGATAGAGGCATAAAGGCAAAGTTATCTTGTATAATCCAAAGGAAAAACAACTTAATTCCCCCAAGAAAATGTTTCACTTGTCAACTGTGATAGAAGCTCTCGTACTTTACGTCTAATTAACTAAAGTTTCACAATAACAAAGTTATAAAAACCTGTCAACTTTCAGCGAAAAGAGCTAATCTTATCGGACTTCCGTACAAATAAATATTAAGAGAAACGTGTGTGTGTGTGTGTGTTTTTTTTCTGATTGTGCGAATAAGTTGAATCACTTTGATTTGAATAAAATTTTACACCTAGACTACGATGAGTTTTTATTAATTCGCTTTCGTGTCTGTTCGGCTCGAATTTATTTTAAAGTAACTTCCTGATGAGCTAGAGAGACTTCAAATTTTAAACATAGCTCAGAATTGGCTGACAATATATGAACATTGAATATAAAAAAACGTGGTAATTAAAAGAAATATTTTTTTTTTAATTTCACATGTTTTATAACATAGAAGTAACAAACTAATTTACAGTCCACACAATAGTGACACGTGGCTCTACCACTTAACAGTGGTAGAGCCACACGGCAGCTTTTGCTGTCGAACGGATGGGCCGGCTCGAACCGGGGTAGTACCACGACCTCACAGAAAACCAGCGTGAAGTAGAGGTTTACCTCTGCGTTTCGCTTGGTGAGTGCAGGTGGCCGGAGGCCTTTTTACTGGAAATGAGGCATTCCATCTTAGTCCTCACGGGTGATAACGCATCTACATTTTGATTTGTAACAGAGGATAGATGTAGATGTCTATGGGCCGCAGCAACCACTTACCGTCAGGTGGACTGTGTGCTCGTTTGTCACCCTTATCCTATAAAAAAAAAGTGAGTGGTTACTGGAGCCCATTGATAACCCGACATAGTGCAACGGATTTGTATGCTATATTGGCAATGGGTCTGCCATACAGTTCGAAGAACCGACCACTGTTGTAGACGTAAGGATCTCGAGAGCCAGCCTCGTACAGATAATTGAGTGTAGAGCGGCGCAACATTAGAATGGAGTTATGTGGTAAAGTGGTAAGACTTGTAGGAATTCGATGGATGCATGTGGTCCAGGACTGTGTGGTACTCCTCGTGGGGAGACCTATGTTCAGCAATGGACTTGTGATAGACTGTAATGATGATGATGATGAAAAGTGCTTTTAGTTTTTTTTTTGCACATACTCTACAACTTTGTTGAAGTTAGCGTGCCGCCATGCGAAGCGAAATTTAAATGTAACAGTTATATTCGTATACGCATAGTACAAAGTTACAAACATTGATCATTTATTTTTAGAGAATAAGTAAGCCTGATGGTACTGTAGGCCCTTATACATCTACATCTACCCGCGATTACGAATCATAATACAGATGTGTTGTCAGCCGTGAGGACTAAGATGGAATGCCTCGTTTAAAGTAAGAAGGGTCTCCGATTGTCTACACTCACCATCACCACATCTATGTTACATTTGGTATGAACCAAACTAGGGCGACTACCATTTTTAAAGAAAGCCGCACTTTCTTAAGTTAATACCAAAATAGAGACACGAATAGCAAACAATGGACCGCCATAATTAGCCTGGAAAGTTTCACTTCGAGGCAAACAATATAAATCTAACGCAACTTCGGACAATATCCGCCTACAGTTCAACCGCGGCTTTTTGCGTAAACTCTAGTTTTTGCCACAGAGTAACCACGCTACAGAGAAACACCGTCAAAAACACTGAATCAAATGTTATTAATTTTTCGTACGTCTCACTTATTTTCCGCTAGTTTCATGACATGACTGTTTATTAATTATATTATGTTACGTTAGTTCTTGCTGTTAACAATTTTTCTTTTGGAAAATATACACATAAATTGATTATACAAAACATAAATGCATACTTAAATTTTTTATCTTACTCCCCTCTCCGAAATGAGTGGGAAGTTTATAGATTGTAATTAGACTTTTCTCTTTAACGCAAATAATCAGCTAAATATTTATCAGATTTTAAGTTAAATTCTTAAGTACTAATATGGATCAACTTTTTAATAGATTTGCTATAAAATAATTACAGCAATTACTTTTATAGCTAATATGTATTTATTTATTTATTTAACAATTTATGTACACACAAAGTAATGTTACAATGAATATTAAAAATAAAATATTTTGTACCAAGGCACTGTTTATTTCATATTGAAACCTCTTTCAGCAGGCCTGAACTGGACAGATTCGAAGAGAAGCGGATTTAGTGTGCACTCACATAATAAACTTTATAATATTAATAAAAAAAAAGATAATAAATACATTTAAGTACATACATCCACACATACAAACATACATATACCTAAATAAAATACACATATATCTATAATATACGTCAGGATATAATTAAGATAATCTATGTTTATCGTGCGTATTGGACGTTAGATTCATATTTTAAGATCAAATTAACTTTAATATCATCAAATTAATAATTACTTTAGTACAATTCTAAAGTAATTAAAATAAACTATCTACAATATAAAATTACCAACTCTCTATCGCGTCAATTGTCTGTGCATCATTGAAAGATAAGAACCACGTGTGGGTTGAACAAAAACAATTGGGAGGTCGATATAGAAAAAATATGTATTACAAATTTGATGAATGGACTTAGAAAGTAATTAGATAACAAAATATAAGATGAATGTATCTTATTTATAGAGGATCTAGCCAAATTGAATTCGACGAAAACAATCAAGTTCTAACACCTAATATATGGCTATACTGCTGCTACCTATCACACCCAAGGTACGAAACGGGGAACAAAGGTGCGAGACGTCTGACACTTTGATAGCCAATTATACTATAATAAGAAAATGGTGTAAGACTATTCACTAGCCCATATCGTTCCGTGGGTGTCGTAAGAGGCGACAGAGGGAAACAAACCAGAAGATGGACAGTAGCATCTTCCTAAGAAAAAGTTAAAAAATAAATAAAAAGGGCGGTTGCCAGCCCGCTTTAAGCGTGGTATCCTATGGCCCAATAAGGTACTCTATGTGGAAGGTCTATGTCAGCAGTGCACTTTTGATAGACTGTAATGGTAAGAAAAGCAGGGACGGGAAAAGGGTTGATGATGAATGATGTATCAGCCTACGAACTTGAAATTAAGCAAAATCATCATCATCAACCCGTACTTAGAGATATAGGCTTCGTTATCTGGAATAACTAACTTGTTATTTATATTTTTGACATTGTATTTATAGCAAATTTTTTGTCAATTCATCAATTTCTTTAGGTAGTTGACATTTATTAAATTAAAAAAAATTGACGCTATAATATTTTTAAATAGTTACATAAGTTGCTGGCTAAAATGTAATTAACTTTCTGATCATGCTTCTTTAATAATTTATTTCATTGAATTGTAATAATAATAATAGTTTAGTATATTTATAAGTAAAGACATTGCACACCACTATCGTGGTAAAATATAAGGTCTCATTAATAATTAAGATCGTTATAATATGTACTACACTCTGGCAATAAACAAAATTGAATTCTTTTGGTTTAGTTTTACGGAAGCGCTCAAAAGGCGGAGTGTTTTCTTTTTTAATTTGGTTTTAACTTGGTCTACTAGTGAAAGCCGCATTGGTATAATAAGTTTCCAAGAATATTGCTAACTAAATTCCAATGTAATACTATACGTGTTATATGAATCATGTTTTTACTAATAAAGATTTAAAATAGTGCGTCATTCAAGGTGATTAGTTGTCATTGTTGCAACTATTTATCCATTTTTCTCGTTATTCATTAAAATGTAGTTAATACCTTAAATAGACGATAACGTCACCTAACTAAACTATCGGTTACCTTTACAGCCCATTAAAATTCCACTGCTGAACATAGACCTCTCCCATATATTAAGAAAATTTAACATAATTGTTACACTGCGAATAGTGGTAAAACCGCAGTATTTTTTAGTTGTTATTAGCAAGACGTCGCCGCCCATCTTCAAGTTTATTTCCCTCTGTAGCTTCTTGCGGCACCCACGAGATATTATAGGATGGTGGATATTCTCACTCCAACCACTACACGGTCAACCTAACTAAATTAGGGGCTAGAAATTGCCACAAAACTCTTTTACGAGCGCTTTAACAAAATTATAACTGAGTTTAATTTTTTTCATTCGTTTCTTTTAGAACGGCACTAAGCTAAACTAGATTATAAACAACTAAAGTTCAGCCAGTTCCCCTCATAATACCTTGCATCGTTTGTAAGGATCAACATAACCGTATTTTTAAAATAAGGAAATATAAAATAATAAATACGTGACAACTTACTGCGCCCAATAGTCCTCCCAACTCTTATCCTTGGTTGAACCGTAGCCTCTTGGCAAGGTCGCCGTTCGTCCCTTCCCGTTGAGAGAGGCAGACGAACCTCGCTTGTCAGGCAGACTGAGCATGGAGAGCCTCTGAACTGGCTCCGACCGAAAAGACTGGAAGGAGATCTGTGACACTGCGTCATCAGATTTGAGACTGGTTTGAGATCCTCGTAGCTTTTCGTTATGGTTGAGGTCGACGTTATACTGACTTTTGGATTCACCGTTAAGGGACTTGCTACCAGAATTTATGTCACTGTTCACCCTCATTAATGGTGGCCTCGGCGCTTGACGACGTAACTCGTACGTATCGGCCTTACTAAACGATGGAGTCCTCTTCGGCTTTGGCGATTCCTGAACGTTGATCACTGAAGGCTTCTTGGACTCCTTCTCGAGATCAATCTCGTGCTCCAGCTGCGTTTGCACGTGGGCGAGCATCTCCTCCAAATCGCCCAGATCTGGATCCAAATTCATTTTAACGCGCCGCATTCTGTATTCTCGGAATGTTCACTATCACAGTTACTTCACTTAACACGATTGTTTAACTGCTTAACAATAACTTAACTGATGGGTACTTTATTGCCTATTGTTTATCGAACAAAACGAAAGTAAACAATGCGACCCCGAATTCCAATACAACTGCAGCTGTGTAATAAAAATACCGGTTGGAAAAACGCATGCGCCTGCGCCGGCGGCCACTGCGCGAATGACATAGTAATCCACAGTCTGACAGGTAGCCTCAATGTCTGTCTGTAGTTATCATTCGACATCCGATAAGCGAGTTAAATAGTCACTTATTCAATTATAAGCCTTAACGTTATCGCATTTAGGAGAGAAATAATTTAATAACATTGTAACTTGATCGATCGTCAGTCCAACTATTTTAATGAGTCATATTACGTATGAAATACGGTATATTATTGAATGGACGACGTGCACTTTAACGTTTATAAAGTTGGCATTTTAAAAGGAAAGTAGTTATTTCCTTCATTGCTCGCGGTCTGATATTAAAGCTTTATTGGGACAAATTAGAGAGGTCTGCGCACTAGTTCTTTAAGTGCAAAAACTGATTATTGTATGAAAGTGTACTAGGTCATTAGATTTTCTTATACAAGTTAGGGAGACAAACAAACATACAGCCCACCTGATGATAAGTGGATGTTGTGGACCATAGACACTAACGTCTATTCTTAGTGATGAATCAAAACAAAATATGTATAATATAATAATATTAGCTCGTCAGGCAGACGTTGTTCTGCACTTTCCAACGACCATTCCTATAAAAATCCTTGAATTCTCAATAAAAAATTTTGTTGGTCATTTATATATATCTCTCTCACGCCTGTCACCCAGAGGGGTAGGCAGAGACTATGGACTTCCATTTGGCACGATCCTGACACACCTCTCTCGCTTCCTCCACATCCATATACCTACGCATACACGCTCGTCGGTTAAAGGTACTCTTGATTTGGCCCATTTTCAATATATCGCCAATTTGGTCGATAAACTTTCGCCCAAGACGTCCCTTCCCGACTCTCGGGATAAAAACTATCCTATCTCTCAAGTTGCACCAAAATTTCATTGAAATCAGTTCAGTAGTTTAGCAGTCCATCGCGGACAAACAACGTGACACGTAATTTTTATATATAACGATATACGTGTTTCCAACCATGAGCACTAACATGGAATGTCTCTTTACCAGTAAGAAGGGACTCTGGTTCACATTACTCACTATACACACCAAACACAGCAGCGTTGCACTGATATTTCAAGCTCATATTCTACGTAAGTTTGGTCCTTCCCCGATCAAGCACTCATTCCTGTTGCAGCCATACTACTCTACAGCGTGGATCTTCTGCGTAAAATAAGAAAATAGAGAAAAATAAAGAAACTACGCAGCATGGCTCTACGTGGTAGAGCCATGCTGCAGCTATATTAGTAGTATAGTTGTAGCACGAACAGCTCGGCTCGACCGAGGAAGGACCACGCTCTCACAGAATACCAGCGTAAAATAGCAGCTTAACACTGCTGTGTTTCGTATGGTGAGTGTAGAGAACCGGAGACCCTTTTTACTGGATATGAGGCATTCCATCTTAGTCCTCACGAGTGACAACGCATCTGCATTTTGATTCGCAAACGAGGATAGAGGTAAATGTCTATGGGCCACAGCAACCACTTACCATCAAGTGGACTGCGTGCTCGTTTGTCACTCGATCCTATAAAAAAAGTTAAAAAAAAGTTAAGAGTACCTTCTCTAGCTAATAATACTATCTCTACCTTCTTTGAAAATGAAAATGAAAACTTGTTTATTTCTTCAAAATGATCATACATTCTACAGGTATGGGAGTAAATGGGACATCCTTTTAAGTAAATATATACTAGTGGTAGGATGCCCCGCTATTCTAAGCTATATAAGATAAACAAGAAACTAAGCTTACATATATTTAATGAGGGTTTTGTATATGTATGTGAGTTTATGTGTGTGAGTCTATGGGTGTGTGCGAGTTCTTTAATTCAGAAGTCGTAAGCAATTTTTTAAATTAACTAAATATCTTTAAATATTGAAACGTATTAAATAAATAATAAAACGAGGGTTAAACTTACGAGTTTATCTTTCAAAAATTGGTCGAAGCTTTTTAATAATAATTTTGCCGTAATTTGGAAGATTGAAAACGTACGTCAATCTACTTTTATGTCCGATTCCTATATTCAAGAAGCGTTTCATTCTCCGTTACGACCCGTTTCATTATATACGAAGTGAGAAGCCATTTTTATTGTAAGCTATATGTTGGTCAACCTCAAAAATGATAGAGCTATAGTTCAAGCCGTGATGTATTTTGTAAATGATTTTACTTTTTGACGAAAAACTTACCGATCTAGGTCGGTTTTTACGTGATACGAGCCATGCTGCAGATATAGTAGTATAGTTACATTACAAATGGGTCGGCTCGACAGGCGTAGGATTACGCTTCAAGAATGACAGCTTAACGCTGCTGTGTTTTGTATGATGAGAGAAGAGCACCGGATGCCCTTTTTACTAGTAATGAGGCATTCCATGTTAGTCTTCACAGGTGACAACGCATCTGTATTTATTCGTAATCGAGGATAAATGTAGTACTCAATGGGTCACAGTAACCACTTAACATCAGATAGACTGCGCGCTCGTTTGTCAGCTTTATCCTGTAAAAAAAATTATTCTATTCCTATCAAAAGCATGACGGATACGCGAGCACAACGAACTAGATGATGCGCAAGATCCGACTTTGTTAAGGGGTAGAGCAGGAAAGCAGACCTTGGTTTAAGCCGAGTTATACCCCAGAATATAGTAACACCCCAGAGCCATGGTAGCTCAGATGGTTAGCGCTCGCTGTAAGTTTCACAGTTCGCGAGCAACCCGGGTTCGATCCCCGCCGGCACCAATGAAATTGTTAATTGCAATTTTAAGTGCTGATTTACCACGTGCTCGGCTGTGAAGGAAAACATCGCGAGGAAACCTGCATGTCTGACAAATAAGAAAACAATATATTTCGACGACATGTGAAGATCGCCAACACGCATTGAGGCAACGCGGCGGTCACTTCCTTGCCATAAAACCCTCTCAGAAATGAGAGGAGGCCTGTGCCCAGCAGTGGGACGTATATAGGCTGTAAATTTACATTTTTACATTTATACCCCAGAATGAATGAAGATTCAATTTTAATTCAGGATACAGTCATAACAAATTCATAACTAAGGTTAAAATGGGCGGACGGCTTACTCTGCCAGTCAATCCACTATAATATTATTAACAAGCTCAATATTTAAAATAGTAATTAAAAAAACCCCGACTAGAATAAAAGAGGTTACTGTAACAGAATATATTTATACCCTGTGTCTATGTTGAAATCTATAAAGCCGTTTAGACTACAGAGCGTGCCAAATAAATATACATACATATATACACCCTCTCGAAAAATAACACCTTCCTTCTGTGGCAGTCGGGTAACAAAAGAGCTAAAAATCTACCTGATATTAGTACTAGTGACTACACTCTACGGACACTCGCAACCAATTTCTACGAAACTAAACATTAGTGTGTTCAAATCCACCATACGAAAACGGTCGTTAACTATTCCTTGTTGGAATAGTAAATGGGGGTATGTTAATAGATTAGAAAGCTGAAGTGGCAATGGGCCCGCCATATAGCTCAAAGAACCGACAACCGATGGGGAAGAAAGATTCTCGAGTGGCGACCTCGTACCGGCAGGCGAAGTGTAGGGAGACCCCCACTAGTTGGAGTGACGACCTGGTAAGACATGCAGGAAGCCGACGGATGCAAGTGGCTCAGGACCGTGCTTTGTAACATTCTTTGTTACAAAGCACGGTGGGAGGCCTATGTTCAGCAGTGGCCTTGTGAATGGCTATAGTGATAGTGATAGTATGGAATAGTTAATAACGTCCTCCAAACTGAATATCGGTCAAGACGGCAAGTCGCAACGAAGACTAGCCATCTGCGCAGATTATGATTATAGTGAACGAGTGAAAGCACAAGCACAGGTGTACCCTTTATTCCCTCACATTTATCCCTCATATTTCGATGGAACGGAAATTCGATACAATTGAGAGAAATTAGGCGCAGGGCCAAAAGTTTTTCGTACTTATCGAGGCACGGTGGTGAAACATCGCCAATTTCCTGACTCTGGGCAGATTTTGGTTCGAACCAGACTTTGAACCCGGGACCGTATGATCAGTAGTCGTGCTTACGACAACTACACTAACGAGTTTATAACAGCTAATGTTAAAAACATCAGAAATCATGATTGTTGAGAGAACATCCCTTTCAAAAAACATCATTTCATAAATACTAACTACAAAGTACCTACAGATACAATTCAGGAATAAACCGAATGTTGCTGCAGCGAAATGTATCTATATTATTGTTGCGTAGCTAATGGTGGTTGTATCAATCAGTCATAAAATAACCTACCATCTGGCGCGTTCGAGACAATCAAGCCGGCTGATAAACCAAAACATCGCGGAACAATAGCAAATGATTGCAATTAGTGATGTTGCTGTATGCTGAAATGTCGATAACTGTTAAGTCGCACTCAAATCATAATTTGTAAAAAAAGTGTTATTATAATATTAACGAATTTATGGATGATAATAACCCCTGGAAAGGAGGTGATCGCTACCAAGCTATTTCTAATTTGTTGTGTTAATTTGTGTAACATCATGATTGTAAGCTGTTATTTAAAAAAAGTCCCGCTGGGTTTCTTGCTGGTTCTTCCCAGGACAGAGGATTTTTCCGAACCAGTGGTAATCAAACAAAAGAGTGACTTTCAATAAGTATTATTTATAATCTATATTGAATAAAAAAGTTTCTGTTTCTGTACAAAATTTCGAATTCGATAATGATAGTGATGTTACCAATGATAAGGTTCTAATTTTAGTCCTTTCGTCCCCACTTTCGCCGGGAGTATACTGATAATTAGAATAAAACTAAATTT